ATACAAGACATGATAGCAAGATTATTGGTAAGAAAATGGTAAAATGGACTTGTGGAAAGAGGAGGATTAGGTTACAACTTGCAGTAATGCTTAGATGTGTTGCTGCTGGACCATACATATATGCTATACAGAGTAACAAGGGAATGAAGCTGAGAAAAATACTCCATCAAACTATCTATCAAATCGGTGTTTTCCACTTCATCCAGAGCATTCATGAAAGCCCAGCCTTTTTAACTGGATTCTGGTTAGCTAGCACCTGGATGAAATCAGGAAATACAGAATAAGTCTTGTTTTCCACTCCCCCAAGATGAAAAGCCGTTCAATTGCATGGCAAACAGTTTGTCTCACTGTTGCAGAATCTGGCTGAAAACATGGATGAGTTGAAGTCATAGTTTGATTGGCCTCGCTGGTCCTTTTCATGAGACACGGAGCACTTCACACATGCTCCAATGTGTTGCGTTAAGACTTCTAACAGGAACATCCCAGTGTGCGGCAGCATCTTGTGTATTCAGCAGCCCTGCATCTCAAAATGGTGGTAGGGGCAATTTTAACTAAAGCTCATTGAACAAGCCCTGCTGGTGCCATCTTGAAATGTGGGGTGCTGAATACACAAGACACTGTAGGAATTTTTAATTAAAGCAGCCCTTGAGAGCTGCTCTAATTAAAATGCACCCTCCACCCCCCTGAGCATGTGCATAGGTGTCCATAGTTAGCTATGTTAGTTTAAAGTCAAGTGGAAAGCAGGGGATGTTTGCACCTTGTAGACTAATTAAATTTATATGTAGCACAAGCTTTTTTTGGAACTCACTTCATTGAACTAACTCTAGACTACTCCACCCAGCAAATTCATTTCCTAGACACTACAGTGAATGTTTGTAATGGCCACACTGTGCTGGAAACCAACTGACCACCACAGCTACCTTCATACCACCAGTTTCATCTTAACCACACCACTAGATTCACTGTCTATGGCCAAGCTGTATGTTACAACCATATCCACACTGATCCCACTGACTGGGATGCACACCTTAAAGACCCAGAGCAGGGATTCCTACAATTGCAATAGAATTCCAGAACTGTAGGCACTCAGATCAATAAAAGCACGCTTGGATCTCATGCTAACCTCCTATAATACCAACCCCAGGACAACGACAATAAAGTCTCTCTGGTTGTCACCTACATCCCCCAGATGGAACACCTTAAATACATCATTAATGACCTCAAACCCCTCCTGAAAAAGGACAAAATTAGTCTGTAAGGTGCAAATCTACCCTTCTTTCCCATGATGCCACATCTGTGAATTGACTCCTAAGGGTATGTAGCTGGGACTCGGCACTGAAATATCCTTACAAAAAATCTGTATACCCTGATGTGAAAGTCTGGGGTGTGAAACTGTGATCATAATACAATACTACATGGTGACAAAAGGAGTTGGGGAGGGAAAGTGAGGACAAAAATTACCATCTTTAAACCAGCCCTGCTGTAAAATACCAAACTGCCCTTACAGCAGCAACTGTGGCTCTGTCAACAGTTGTCTAGCATATAACATCTATTGGGAGTAGTTCAATAGTCCAAATTTACTTGTTGACAAAGCGAATGGATTAAAATGGGCTGCTGAACCACAAATTGCTGCTAAAAAGTTTTCAGTGGGTTTCTGGAGTTATATTGGCACCCTCACAAACAAATGTCTCTTTTAACTATTGGCGTTGTAAATTGACCCTTGACATTGTTTCCCCATGCAATATGGGCAAAGTCAAAGCAGAGCCTAAAAGGATTGGACTTGAAATGACAAATGTTTGCCAAATTATCCACTTGGAACTTCTTCTACATTCTGCATGTGTTTGGATAAAGTTGTTCATACGTTTACATCTTTGAGAGATCACAACAACAGAGCTTAAATAAACTGTAAGCTCTTTGGGGCAGGAACCATCTTTTTATTCCATGCTTGTATAGTGCTTAGCATCATAAGGATCTAACCTATGGCTTGGGTCCCTATGATTACAACTAATAGCATGTGTGTAAGCAGACTGGATTGCATGATTTGCCTCATTTGAAAGAGTCAGAGTGAGAAACTAGAAAATTATAAACATGTGGGAAAAGCATGATGTGCATGCCTATTACAGTGTGATTGCCTTTTGGAGAAGGGTCATATTTCTTTTGATTGGGAACTGGGGGCGGGGAGGGGATGAGCTGAGGGCTGGAAGCCAGGTACGCTTAAACTTTGTCACAGGTGGTGGCCACAGTCAAATCACTTCACCTATCTCTGCCACAGCTTCCCTGTTAGTAAAGAGGAGACAAGGATACACTATTGCCACAAACTACAGTTGCTCATGTGTATGCATTTTGCAGGATTTGGGGCCTATGTTTATACATGTATGTGTTGTTGCTTAGAACATGACATATTTGAAGTTTTTACTGGAAACCATAAATATTCAAGGATCATAAGCCAGGCCCCTACAATCATGCAATAGGCCTAAAATTCCTGGGATTATTTTTTTTAAATGATGTGTCATCAGATCCTCTGTGTTTTCTGTTGTATACAGTCACATTTTCAATCTTTCTCTGTGGAGCCATGAAGTTAGAAATATACTTTTTTTTAATGAAACCTGCTTCTCACACCTTCAGACGAACCTAAGGAAAAACAAGTATCACAAAATCACGTTACGAATGTTGGCTTTCAGAAAAATACCAAATACTGTGAGACATGTGAAAAAGTTGTGAAAGTTTAGTTACCTGAATGGAAAGGAGCAAAGATCCTGAAATATCCCTTAGAGCTTACACCAACTCTCAAAGGGAACTTTACTAAACTGCTACTACACACAAACTTTTCTTTCACGTTGTCCAAAAATGCAAATGAGGGCTGAAATGCTTTCCTTCACGTTTTTTTATTTATACCTAGAAGCTTTTTAGTGAAGCTATGTGTAGAGCTAAAAAAGTGGCCACAATATCAGCTTTCTACCTATACTTCACTGAAACAACCTGGTTAAATCCTTCTAGTCCTGCATTCCTCGCAGACAGACAAATACGAGTTCCTGCATATTGCTCTGTGAGTACAAAACCTGGATCTGCAAAGGGATGTGTGAGGGTGTGGAAGACACTACAGCACTTAAGGCAAGAGTAGGTGTTTGTCCTGGCACCCTTGTTTCTGTGACCTATTTGCAATTGGGATATTTTCTCAGCAGTTTTGGACAGGGTTCACAGTGTTGCCAACCTCTGGCAATTTTACCACAGGTCTCACAATATTTGGTGTTTTACTTCAAACCCCTGCTCCTGGAAACAAGTGATGGTGTGAAAAGCTCAGCTTTCATGGAAAAGAAAAATTCCTAGCATTCAGGATTGTGGTGAGGAGCTTAAGAATATGACCTGACTGTAACCAAAAGGCTCAAGACCAGATGACAAATAAGAGCTCAGCACTTTTCGTAGTTGTTGGGTTTTTTGTTGTTTTTAAAAGATCTCACGATGTTTGGTGCCTGACTCATGATTTGGGAATGGAGCTACTGGGCTTAAGTTACATTGGCCGCAGCTGTGGTGCAGACCTGGTGCTAGGGTTCTTGGTTGTAGTCAGTGTTGGTAAGGACATAGGCAACGAGGTTCTTTGGATAGATGTGGTAGCTTTTATTAGAACAACTAAATAGTTGGGAAAATTTGCAAGCTTTTGGGTACGAACACCCTTCATCAGGCATAGGGAGAGTCTCCCCCCTCACACTCTCCCATCTCACACCTATTGTCTCCCATTTCCTCAGATCCTCACTGCTACTCAGTTGCATTTGCACAGACCTACATTGTGCATTTTGGCTTCTATTCTACCCAGGAGAGCACACAAACACCAGCAGACTTGCCCTATGCCTAACAAAGGGTGTTTGTACCCAAAAGCTTGCAAAGAACAATTTTTCCAACTATTTAGTCTAACAACAGATATCACATCTAACCACAGAAACTTGTGCGACCTGTCCTATATATACTGAAATCAGTGCGCTGTGAACATGTCAGGAGCCTTAACTTGCCTCATGCAGGGTACTTACTGCAACTCTAAGCACTGTAAGTGAACCCCTCATGCCAGTTAGAATCACAGAAAATGACGGTTGAAAGGGACCTCAGGAGGTCATCTAGTCCAGTGTATTTCAATCTATGGGTTGCGACCCAAAAGTAGTTCACGAAAATATATGAAAGAGTTGCGAACAAACTTCAAACATCTATCAACTAACTTAAAAAATGGATTCTCCTTTAAAGGAGAAAAACATGGGAAATCATCGCTTTTCCTTGCAGTCTGTCAGAGTTGCAGCCTGCGAGGGGCTCCTTGGGCCTCCACACACTTGGGGCCTGGGGGTGAAGGGCAGCGGGTCCAGTGAGGGGCACTGGGTCAGGACTGGCGGTCAATGTTTACAAATGGGTCCTGGTACAAAAAAGGTTGAGAATCGCTGATCTAGTCCAACCCCCTACTCAAAGCAGGGCCATCCTCAACTAGATCATTCCTGCCAGGGATTTGTCTAGGCAGGCCTTAAAAACCTCTAAGGCTGGAGATTGCATCACCTCTCTGGGTAACCTGTTCTAGTGCTTCACTACCCTCCTAGTGAGAGAGCTTTTCCTAATATCCAACATAAACCTCCCTTGCTGCAACTTGAACAAGGCACCCCTGCCTCAGACCTCCCCTCTAGCCGCTCCTGGGGTACCACAAAGGTGTGCCTGGAGTTGCATGGGTGGGCAAACACCGTGTGGTCCCAGGGACCCAGGCCATGAGGCTGCCACTGGCAGCCCTACACTACAGCTGAAGCCATAGCCCTGCTGGGGGCTGACTCGGCCCCTGAAAACCCGAACTTGTCGATTCCCTTCCAGCCTAGCTGGTCATCGCAAGCCCGCGAGCTTCCCCCGCCGCGCCTCCAGGTGGAGCTGTGCGACACCTCCCTCTGCGCCCAATCTCGTGCGACTGCGCCGCCAAATGGGTTCCGAGAGGGCCTCTCTGCACACGCGCGGCGCCTGCGCACTCCCGGCTGCGGCGTGTGGGCGGAGCCGGCGCTGCCTCACCCTGGTAACCGCCGCCGCGGACCGCACCCTGGTGCTTGCCCGTGCCCCCGCCCCGCCGGCCGCACCATGCAGGGGGAGGACGCCCGATATCTCAAGAGGTGACGCGGCGGGGGGTGTGGCAGGGCTGACTCCCCCCGCATCCGGGCCGGGTCCTGCCCTGCGCTTTCAGGGGCTTCCCTCCCCCCCCACCTTCCCCCATATGTAAGGATTTGGGAGTGGGGTGTGGGAGGGAGGAGGCCGGGGGCAGATATCCTGCTTCTCTCTTCCGCTCCGTGCCCAGCGCTCTTGCATCCCCTCTGGCAGCCCCTCGTGTCCTTGGTTCCAGACAGGTGAGTGGGGGCGGGCGCAGGGGATGCTCAGCGCATCCTCCGGCTCCCCCATGGTCCAGCCAGTGACACAGGTTGTTGTTGTAGAGGATGGTGTTCTTGCCCGTGTGCGCTTTGTGCTGATTCAGCGAATACAGCCCCCCTCCCCCACCACCTCCCTCCACTAATGGATTTAATTCAATGCGTGCCAGTCCCTGAGTTCGGTGTGCTCCAGAGCTTGTCTGCCCCAAAAGTGAGGTTCAGAAGAGGAAGGTTGCAAGGGAGCGAGATTCGTGTCACTTCCATAACAAAGCATGGAGCAATGTGGGTGTGTGCTGACCACCCAGCACGGCATTTGTCCTGCGAGCCTGAGCAGTGATCCACATCTGGATGACTTTTAAAACGGGCGGTTGGCTGCAAAACTTAATATGCAAGAGGAATTCTTTCCTGGGTGTATTTCCCTTTGCTTCAGTTAATAATTTCCTTTGTGGCACTGGAGACCCAAATAAGACGTTGTAGTGGATAGTGATAATGTTGAGTGCATCTGTAGCCCTGTACAGCTGTCAATTTTGAGTTGTTTTACAAAGAATTAAGTTTTACAAGGCAGGAGCTTAGATGTGAACTGGTGAAAGAGCAAATTCTTTAACCAGGACCTTGCCCTCCTAGCTGGGATGGCATTGGCACTATGCATGCATGAGGGAAGAAAATGGCTGTCCCAGCCATTAGAGCCTGTAACAGTCCAATAACTAGAGCAGGTTTTGTGACCCATTACATCAGTCCATGGGGAGGGGAGTTAAGGAAGAAAATATAGGATCTCCACAGTATAATGCCTCCAGTCAAGCTTGCCCACTCCATCCTGTTTGGGGCAGGGCTCATGGGATGCATAGTGCTCATTCCCAAGAAGGGAAAAATCTTTGAGGAAGTGCTAGATCTCTATGCAGAGCAACTCACACTGGCAGATTTCTCCTTCTGTACATTTGTAAATACTTCCTATCCTGTCCCTGAAGAACAGGTGTTGACTCAGCATAAGATGTCAAAGAGAAGTAGTGCTGGGTAGTTTTTCCCGTGAGATTAATCCTGAGATAAACGGAAGACAGTGACAGAACTGGTATGTTTTAATTTATCTCTCTTTAGGGCCTTGATTCTGGGAACTGTTCCCTTTTGGATGAACCCCTCCACCTTGTGGAGACTCCACACACAAACACGTTGCAGAGCCAGGTCCAGACTATACTATCTGCCCCAAAGAATTCCTAGTGTTGAAAGAAGTTGCTCTACAGAAGAACTACCAAGAGCACTCCTACTTGCTCTATGACAGTGTTTCCCAACCTTTTCCAGCCCAAGGCACGCTTACATTAATAAACATTTTCCGTGGCATTTACCTATTAAGGCATTCCTCATGCTCATACCTATTGTAGCTCATTTCCATGACAAAATTCCACAGAACACCTGTTCATTTCTGATGGTACACTTTTGTGCTGCAGCACACTGGTTGGGAAACACTACTCTGTGAGAAGAAATATCTGAAAAGCTTTAGGGCTGGCAACCTTGCTGAATTACCCATACACTGTGCTGACAATGGTCAAAATCATCTTAAAGGAGACTGATGGGAGAGACAACTTGGAAAAGAACATCCTCAGAATGCAGAAGGATCAGAAAGGTTGTTATTCCTAATGTGTGAACTCTGTTAGGCAGGGTTCATCCATTTGGAAAGGAGATGGTCATGATGTAGATCTAGGCCTGCTGTAAACTGATCTGCGGCTCACAATCTTTTTCATGCAGTGTTACTTTGTGCTTCTATAGCATCTTCTGTTGGAGGTTCTCAGTGTCCTCCAACCCCACTTGGGACGCAGCTAAGTTTTATTTGCCCCACTTACAGAACGGGCATGTAGAGGCACAGAAGAGAATAAGTAAGTTGCCTGATGTGGGTTGATGACAAAACTATGAATTCAGAACCCTGCTAACACACAGCTGTCACCATCCCTGCTGAGAAGGCCCCTCCTTTACATTGATAGTCCGTTTTTGTTTATGACCAGTCAGGTTGTGGTCAGTATAGCGAGGGGCTATTTTATTACAATTTCCCTACAAGTCTGTCACTGAGTCCTGGGGAAGCTGGATAGCCGTGGGAGAACTTCAGCAGCAAGACGAAGATCAGGGAAAGTGTGGGTCCCTTACTGAATGGAGGAGGCAACCTAGTGATACATGATGGGGAAAAGGCTGAAGTACTCAATGCCTTTTTTTACCTTGGTCTTTAAAGGCAAGATCAGCTCCCAGACAACAGTTTGGGGAGGAGGTAAGCAGCCAGCTGTGGCAAAAGAACACGTTAGGGACTATTTAGAAAAGCTGGGCCTGTAGAAGTAATTTGGGCCGGAAGCAATGTACCCAAGGGTGCTGAGGAAGTTGGCTGATGTGATTACAGATCAGCTAGCTATTATCTTTGAAAACTTGTGGCAGTTGGGATATGTCCTGGATGATTGGAAGAGGGCAGATCTAATGCCTGTCTTTAAGAAAGGGAAGGAGGAGGATCCAGGAAGCTACAGACCAGTCAGCCTCACCTCAGCCTCTGGAAAAATTGTGGAGCCAAACCATCAAAGAATCCATTCTAAGCACTTGGAGGAGAAGAAGGACAGGCAGCATGGATTCACCCAGAGCAGTCACGCCTGACCAACCTGATTGCCTTCTATGATGAGATGACTGGCTCTGTGGATGTGCAAAAAAGCAGTAGACATGATATACTTTGACTTAGCAAGGCTTTTGATATGGTCTCCCATAACATTCTCGCTAGCAAGCTAAGGAAATATGGGCTGGATGGATAGAAAACTGGCTGGATTTTCTGGCTCAGAGGATAGTAATCAATGGCTCAATGTCTAGTTGGCAGCTAGTATCAAGTGGAGTGCCCCAGGGGTTGCTCCTGGGGCCAGTTTTGTTCAGTGTTTTTTCATCAATGACCTGGAAGATGGAATGGAGGATACCTTCAGCAAGTTTACAAATGACACCAAGCTGGGGATGTAGTAGATACCCTTGAGAGTAGGGCTAGGTTTCAGAGAGATCTTGACAAACTAGAGGATTGGAACATAAGAAATCTCATGAGGTTCAATAAGGAGAAGTGAAAATTCCTACACTTAGGATGGAACAGTCCCATGCGCTGGCTGGGGACCAACTGGCTAGGCAGCAGCTTTGCAGAAAAGGACCTGGGCATTACAGTGGACAATAAGGGCACACCATTGACTCACATTCAGCTTGTTGCGAAGAAGGCTAATGGCATACTGTGCTGCATTCGTAGAAGTGTGATCCCAGCAGATCAAGGGAAGTGATTATTCCCCTCTGTTCAGTGCTGGTGAGGCCACATATGGAATGCTGTGTCCAGTTTTGGGGCCCCTACTATTGAATGGGTGTAGACAGACAAATTGGAGAGAGTCCAGCAGAGGGCAACAAAAATGGTTGGGGGCTGGGGGACATGACTTATGAGGAGAGGCAGAGGGAACTGGATTTATTTAGTCAGGAGAAGAGAAGACCAAGAGGTGATTTAAAAGCAGCCTTCAACTACCTGAATGGTGGTTCCAAAGAGGATGAAGCTAGACTGTTGTCAGTGGTGGCAGATGACAGAACAAGAAGCAATGCTGTCCAGTTGCAGCAAGGGAATTTTAGGTTAGATATTAGGCAAAACTCTCTGGAGCAAGTTACCCAGAGAGGTAGAATCTCCATCCTTGGAGGTTTAAGACCCGGCTAGGCGAAGCCTTGGCTGGGATGATATAGTTGGAGATGGTCCTGCTTTGAGCAGGGGGTTGGACTAGATGATGTGAGGTCACTTCTAACCCTCATTTTTATGATTCTGTGATTGTCTGCCCAGAAAAGAGTGAATAGCCCTTTATAATAAATGGACCAAGAGAAAATAATTAAAGTAGACATGGGCATCGATTGGAATGTTTGCACTGTTTAAATGGCAGAGAATGGGGAGGGGGGAGAAATACTGAGTGCCAGAGGCAGGATACTGAGTGCTGGAGAGTCTTAAGACACATGGGGTTCTGCTGTGGTACAGGCTGTTGTTACCATAGTGGCGACTGCCTAGGAACCGCCATTTTCATGCCCCCTCTAAATTGGCATTGGGCTGATGCCCTACATGCCCATCCTTAGTTATGCTACTGATAGTACATGTCTTAGAAGCAAGAATCAAAGGCTAAATTCAGATTTGCTAGCACTTGCAGCTCTCTCTGTTGTTAGTGGCTTTCAGTACTGCTCAGTTTCAGGTGAATGGTCTTGACTGATTTGGTATGAAATGTGAATAAATATAAGAATGGAAACAAAGTCATAAGATGCCATTGCATGTACATATGGGTAGGGCATGGAAAATTGTTTAATATTCTATGTCAGAGTTGTAGAAAGTTGTTCTAGGCCTTTCTACAAATTTCCCCATCCTCCCAACAGGGACTCTTGGGCGAAACAGTCCATCAGGTTTCATAAATTGCACTTCCTCTCCCAAACTCCCTTACATATTAGCCCTAAAACTGTAAAGTGCTGAGCACCCTCAGTTCACACAGGGTGCAACGGGAGCCAGGTGTGTTTAGCCTGTTGTACTGTCAAATCCAGTGCTTTTTTGAAGTATGCTGTACTCCACTTATAAGTGTGTTATTTTCTTCATTGTATAACACAATCCCAGTCCTAATTTAAGTGTGCTTACATTATAACAAATATTAATTATCTGCATATTGGTTAAGTGCATAATTGACGTATGGTTCTAAAAATTCTTTGGCTCTAATATCTACTCTGAAGTAATTGTAGTCTGTTTAGTTGAATGATTGGTGAAACTGATTAGGGATGGTCAATGTTGTTGCCTAAATCAGCCCTGAATGACTAGGTCCTATCAATTTCAAGGTTTTTAGAGGCCTGAGGATTATGAGGAGTAGAGTAACCAGCCTTAAGGGGGTTTGAAAAGCTTAGCACAAGCTGTTTCTGTAGTTAATGAGTTTTGTTTATGTAGAGTTTGTGTAAGTACCTAGCCATTTTTTAGTTCCCAGGCTAGGCACAGGATCCAAGTACAACTGTCATCTCTTGCTACACGTTGCTTAGGGCTGTGTGGAGCTTTTGTAGGCTGATTCAATTTGGCAGAGATTCGGCCTGAATCCGAATTAAATCAGGAGACCCCTTAATCTCTCCAGATTGAACTGGAACCCTCCAAATCAATTCAGAAAGATTAGGAGAGGTTTGATGATTCGGATATAGACACAGCTTTAAAAGTTTTTTCTACGTACCTCAAGGTACCAGGCTGCTTGTGAATGCTGAGATGCTGGGGCAGATGGAGCATTCCACAGGGGCTGGTGTCCCCAGCGTGTTCAGCAACAGACCTGGAAGTGGACCAGAAGCACTTCTGGGTCTGCCAGGGAGCATGCGGGTGACCCCCACCCCCTCCTCGCCCCCCAGGGGGATGTGAGTGTGCTCTCAGGAGCAGACCCAGAAGTGGACCGGGAAGTACTTCTGGTGTCAGTACTTCTGGTCCACTTCTGGGTCTGTTGCCAAACATGTGCCCCCCCCACCCCCAAGACACTCCGTCTGCCCCACCGTTGCAGCATCCACAAACCGCGCCTGGTACCTCAAGGTACGTAGAAAAAATATTTAAAGCTGTGTCTATGGCCGAATCACTGATTCTCCGAATCACCATCAAATCTTCAGATTTGGATTTGTCCAAGTTGAATCGGGGCGGTCATCTGAATCAACGAATCAAATCACTGTCCCCAGTTTGGGCCAAATCCAAATTGAATGTGGCTAATTTCGCACACTCCTAATGTTGCTAAATACAACGAAACGGGTTTGTGACTAGTGAACCATGTTCCCAGTTTCCATCTATTGGTGGTAGTGGTGAATTTTGAAAAAACTGACAAAACTAACTAAAAAACCTTGAAAATAATCCCAGCATAAAATACAGAAATTTTAGGCTCTGTTTTCCAGGGGTTGTTTTACCAATTTTTTTCATTTGTACTACAGAGGTCGGTGCTCTAACACAGTGGTTTTCAACTTTTTTTGTACAAGGGCCCATTTGTAAACATCAATGGCCAGTCCTGACTCCATGCCCTTCACTCCTGACCTCCTGGCCCCTGCCCCCGCAGTGTGTGGGGCAGGGGAGGGAGGGGCAAAAAGCCCCTTGCAGGCTGGAACTCTGGCAGCCTGCAAGGAAAAAGCCACCATGTCCCACATTTTTTTTTCTTTAAAGGAAAATTCATTTTTAAAGTTTGTTGATCCACTTTTAAAGTTTGTTCATGACCCTTTCATAGATTCTTGTGACCCAGTTTTGGGTCATGACCTACGGTTTGAGAAATGCTGCCCTAACAAGAGAAATTAGTACATTCTTACAGGATCATCTTGAAGTTCTTTGTTCTCTTATTCTAGTTTGTAGAATCGTGTGTAGTTTTTAATTCCTAAGATGTGGCCAGTCCTACTAACAGGATATCTAGGAAGTGCCTGCAGGTATGTACTAAAAGGTAGCTGGGTTAGTCTCAAGTCAAGCAGAAGGCCAGGCAGTGTGACACTTTCAGCTATGAACAAAGGATGCATTTCTTCTGAGAGAGAGCCTTTTGTCCCAGGATTGCACAGATGTACATGTCCACTGAAGGAAGGCTAGAAGGGACCTCACAAGGTCATATCGCCCAATCCCCTGCTTAAGGCAGGATCATCCCTGACTAAACCATTCCAGCCACGTGTCTATCTAACCTCTTTTGAAAACCCCCCAGGATGGAGATCCCACAACTTCTCTTGGTATCCTGTTCCAACGTTTGGCCTCCCTCATAGTCAGAAAGTTCCTCTTAATTTCCAGCCTAAATTTTCCCTGCTGGAGCTTCAGGCTATTTCTCCTCATTTCATCTTATGTCCCTTCTGTGTAGCCACGGAGAAGAATCCATCTCCGTCCTCCATGTAGAGGAGCAGCTGAATGGGCCTTGGATGTTATAATTTGTTTAGTTTTGTCCAGTGATTTCTTGATCTGTGTTTTATGAGGGGGCACAGCTAGCATCTAGATCTGTAACAAGGTCTGGTGGCTTGGTGAGAATTGGAGCTAGTTAGTCTGTTGCTGAAGAAATGTCATTTGAGGTTAGGAGGGCTAGTAAGTCAAAACAGGCTTCTTCCCTAAGGCTACCTTGAGATATGTATGAGTAAATTCAGGTTGTTCAATCTCTGGTTAAGCTGAGGATCTGGAAACAAGTCTTTCAAGCGCAGAGTTACTTAGGAACTTGAACTCATTCTCTGATCTGCTGATTTCTTTGGGGGCATATCTCTCTTTTGTTCAGAGGTCTCCCCTAGCATGATGCATCTTTAGTGTAGGCATTATCTAGGCAGATAGACCTGTAAAACCAAGATAGATCTTCCTTCCTAGCTTTTAACACCTATGACTAGGAGCTCACAGTCGATTTGGTATACTTGCACATACTAGGAATTATAAACACAAAGGTGCCACTTGTGCTAAGATTCTCTGCAGCTAAGAGGGAGGAAAGTGCAAATGGAAAAAAAAAAGACTCAGGCTGCATAAGCGCACTGTAGGATCAGTGTTTCATAGTGACTTATACACTCGTATATCTCTTAGGCTTTTGCTTTAACCATCAATGTGTTTGGTTTTTCTGCCCTTCAGGAAGGTCAAAGGAGGTAACATAGATGTACATCCATCTGAAAAGGCCCTTGTTGTTCATTATGAAGTGGAAGCAACTATCCTTGGTGAGATGGGCGACCCCATGCTGGGGGAACGCAAGGAGTGTCAGAAAATGTAAGTTCCAAGTACATTTTTTATTATTTTTGGAAGATAAAAATCTGAGGCATTCTAATCCCTGAGTCTTGAATTATAATATCCTGTTGTTTCTTTTGCGTTATTCGTACTTTATCTGACTTAACACCACCTTAAGGAAGTGTTTGGAATTCTAGAAGTAATATATGTGCATGGTAACATTAATACTTACCATATTTACTTGAATATAAGATGAGTATTTTTCTCCCTAATCAGCTGCGGCAGTGGGAGTGTCCCTAGTTTTAAATTTGCATACAAGGAATCCTCATTAAGTACATAATCTATCATTAAACTGCTGCCAAAAGCAGCATGTGCTCAGGAATGGAAACCAGCTATGAAGTTGATTTAAATGCAGCCAAAACTGAGCCCGATGATAAAACACATGGCTCATTATGCAAACATATGGTGAGAACTTTTTGTGTGCGCGCCTTAAAAAAAAAGGGGGGGGGCAGTTGCTCCTCCAGGAGGGCCTGGAGGTACTGCAATACCAGACCATCACTTGGAGAGGCTGGAGCAAGCTCCGACCTCCTCCCCGGTGCCAAAAATGCTGATTATAACCTTTGTTTTGTATGGCCCTTAAAACAATGGGTGGGTGTTTCTTCTGCAGGGGACTGGCACTGGGCCTGAAGTTACTGCAATACCAGGTCAGCAGTGGGAGGGCCAGAGCCAGCCCTGACACTCTTCCTTTGGTGCCAGATATGATTTATTAGAACATTTTAAAGCTCAAGATGACAGAATTCGAGGCACAAGGAAATACAGAAAACCTGAGCGAGGGGGTACATAGTAGAAGATGGAGGTAGTGGTGTGAATGCAGCTAAGTTGCATGTAAAACATGCAGCCAACTAAGCCCAGGGATAAGGAGGTAGGAAGGGGGAAAAGGAGGGGGAGGGCACACTGCTTATACAGCAAAGAATATACAGGAGACTGCATTTGAGTAGGGAGGTGGTTCGTAAAGTGCACGCACAATTACAAACAGTGACATGCGTGATACAGTTGTGGGGGTAGGGAAGAGTCCAGGCTTTAAAAAGTTCTTGGAGTCTGTGAGGTGTAGCAGCAGGGGGCAGTCGGGGGGGTCCCTTCTGCATGGCTTCCAGTCAGAGGTCTGTTGGAGTCCATGTACTGGTGCTGTCCCATGATATGCTGCATGTAGTGCATCCCTGGACCAGCGGATGGTGTCAAACACCATGAGGCAATGTTGCCTCTAAAGTGTAGTGGTCCGTGAGCGCGCCGCTTTGGTCCCACCTCCCCCTTTCGCCTGGATCTGGACTACACTAAGCCTAATAGACTAGAATCCTCATGTAATGGATCCTCACCATTATTCTCGGTGTTAGGGTCTCTACGAGGGGCAGGGGCACCCTGTAGGCAGTGCGGCTGTCTTGGGGGAACAGGGGCCCCCTATAAGGGAGCATGAACACTGGATGTTGTCTATAGGGTTCATAGATTGTAAGGGCTTGAAGGGACCTTGCAAGATCATTGGGTCCAGCCCCCCCCTGCACCAGGCAGGAAAGACAACTGGGGGTCAGGGGACCCCAGGTTAGGGTTGGTTGGTTAGGGTCCCATTGGGGCACAGGGGAACCCCATAAGGGAGCATGGACACCCTGTAGGCAGTGGGGATCCCTGTAGGGGAAGCTATGACATCCTCAGGGCAGCAGGGTCTCTATAGGGGGTAGGGGTGCCTATAGGCAGTGGGGCCCCCAGAGAGGCACCCTGTGGGCCCTGAGCCCCCTATGGGAAGCAGGGCCCTACCGGCAGCGCCCCCTTGTTCACCCGGCTCAGAGTGGCCTCTGTAGCGCTCCCCACCGAAGAAGACGCAGAAAGACATGGCTGCTCCCAGCTGCCTGGCCCGGCCCCTCCTCCAGCTCCGCCCGTGCCACTCCCTGCAGCCACTAGGCGATGCTGCCAAACAAGGCAGTGCAGGCGGGCAGGTGAGTGCACGGGACAGGTGCAGCCCAGGCTGGGGGGGTGGGGGGCAGCTCCAGCTCTGCGGTGTAAAAGCAGCTGAAATCCAGGGAGCGGCACTGATCCAGCAGACCAGTTCCCTGGTGCTAGCAGAGCCTGTGCCAGCCCCCACTTTGCCTTGCTGCACTGCAGCCCAGCTCCTCTCTGGGCAGGTGTGCAGCGTTAATAAGTTAGTGCGCAGCATGGTATTAAATTGTGCACGGCTGCGCACACGTGCAGCCTGGAGGGAACCTTGTCCTGAGGCCCTGCATCAGCTTGGCATAGTGGCGGGTTATGCAGCATTTGATCTTAGCCAAAAGGCAGAAATGCTGATGGAAACCTACCACAAGGCTACCTTCATGTAGCCCATCTTTATAAAATATATGGTAGTTGCTGCTGAGTACAATCCAAGGGATTATCCAGCCTGTGGTGGGTCCCTTGGCCCAGGCATGGGGGCCAGGGGCGATGCAGCAACTGAACTCCTTCTGGCTGCTGCTGCCTTTGTCATTACTGGATGTGGCCTGGCCATCCCAGCCTATCCACCCCACACCTGCCTCCAGGCATGCTGGATGGAGTGGGTGGGTGGGCCCTGTATGGAGGCTGGCCTGGGACCCTTGTGGGCAGGATGTGCTCAGCCAGGTGAATGGGATGGGGTCATGGGCAGGTGGAGAGAAGCACCTGGGAGCAGGACAAGATGGCAAGGTTGGGATCATGAGGCAGTTCCAGCGCGGTGCTGGGGCCCGGGGCAGAGCTGCAGTTTGTTCCTTGGCATGTCCCTGCCTGCAAAAATGGTGCCCGTTGCAGGGATAGGTGAGGCATGAATCTTGGCTCAGCCCCTGGCCCCACGTTGTCACTGCCCTGTGATCCTGGCCATACCTGTCTGTCCCACTCCTTGATGCTGCTCCCTGTCTGCCTGCAGGCTTGTCTCGGCCTCCCGACTGAGCGTGCCTTTCCCTTGCAGGTCCTGACCGGTTTCCATGGAGACCCTGCCCACCCATTATGTCTGGTGACTTCGGTGGTGGGTGCAGGACGGATGGGCCTGGGACTGGATAGGATCAAACGTTGTCATCTGCCCTGTCTCCTTTCTTGTCCCCCTACTGTGCTAGGTCATCCTGCCCCCCACCACTGCACCTACTTGGCAGGGGAGATACCATGATCAACAAGGTGATTTTCCCATGGTGAGGCCTGTCCCTTGCACTCTGGGCAGGCTGGGAAAACTTGACTATACAATTTTGTAGTAAGGGAAGACTGCGTTTGTGCTTTCTGCTGGCTTGGTGCTTGGCCTTTTGGCTAGGAGCAAGTGAGACTAGGAGGTGTCTGAATCCCAGGGCCTCCAGGCCTGGGGCTTGTACATAGGATGTCTGCCACAGATTTGGGGAGTATACAAAGCCTCAGACTGATGAGCAGGGATCCAGGTTTTCTGTTTCCCATGGAAAATGAAAAAAAGTGTCGATTTTTTTTCCCCCCCCTTTTAACTGAGAAGAAAGCAGATTTCTCATTTTAACAGAGAAACGCACAGATTTTCCACTTTTGCAAAGAGCTCTCTGCAGGCTGGCAGGATTCCAGTGTGCAAGGGGGAGTGGGAGGAGGGTGGTCAGGCAGGGGGCGCTATATGTGTGCTTACATGTACACATGGCTGCTAGGAAGCTTGGAGAGCAGCTCCTGTAGGTAAGGTTGGGTTGGGTTGGTGGGGGAGGGAATGAAGGCCCCCAAAGTGAAGGAGGGAGGTGGGCTGGGGTTGCTGCCCAGCTGGGCAGTGGATGGGGTTTGGGGCCCAGGGCCAGAATGCACAGTCACAGGGCCCTGGCAGGGAGTGGGAGGGGTCTGTGGGCAGCTTGTCTGGGGGGGTGCAAAAAGGGGTGAGGCTGGCTCCCCGCCACTGAGTGTACTCCCAGAGGGGTGCAGGGGAGCATGTGCCCCCCAGATCTGTGTGCGGGGTGGGTTCATAGATTTCATAGACATTAGGGCTAGAAGGGACCTCGGAAGATCATTGAGTCCAACCCCTTGCCCCAGGGGCAGCAAGTCAGCTGGGGTCATAGGATCCCAGCAAGATAAGCATCCAGACTTCTCTTGAAGGCGTTCAATGTGGGTGCTTGAACCACCTCTGATGGCAGGCTATTCCAGACCTTGGGGGCTCAGACAGTAAAGAAATTCTTCTTTATGTCCAGCCTGAAATGGTCTTGCAGGAGTTTTTAACTGTTTGACCTTGTCATCCCTTGGGGTGCTCTGGTGAACAATTGTTCCCCCAGATCCTGGTGAACACGTCTGATAAATTTATAGGTGGCCAGCAGATTGCCTCTGAGCCTGCGCTTTTCCAGGCTGAAGAGTGTACCATAGCTCTCAGCCTGTCATTGTAAGTTTTGTTTTCCTGACCTCTGATCATGCACGTGGCTCTTCTCTGGACTCTCTCAAGCTTCTCCACATCCTTTTTGAATTGTGGGGCCCAAAACTGGACACAGTACTCCAGCTGCGGCCTCACTAAGGCTGAGTACAACAAGAGAGTGACATCCCGGGATTTGTTTGAGAA